CGGTCGCGCAGGCCGTGGGAACAGTAGCAACGGCGCGCGAAGAGGTCGAGTTCCGCGACGCCCCAACCTACCATGAAGATCCCCTGCCTGACTCGGCCAGAAAACATGCAGGAGTCGAGGGGCCAGGAGGAGGAGGAGGAGGAGGAGGAGGAGGAGGAGGAGGAGGGGGAGGGGGAGGAGGAGGAGGAGGAGGAGGAGGAGGAGGAGGAGGAGAGGAGAGGAGAGGAGAGGAGAGGAGAGGGGACAGGAGGGGATGTTTCCATATCGAGCTGGCTTCAGGGTGCACAAAGATGATTGGGACCCTGTGGAAAATGCACTCCGAAATAAACCTAATGGTGGCAGCGGCAAGGGAGTTCGCGACGCGGATGGCCTGCCTATCGGCCTCCGCGCCCGTCGCCCCCTCCAGCAGCGAGCCGAGGCGGCGCACTCGAGCGGGCCCTATCCTCCAGGTGGCGCACGGAAGGGGGGCCCACAGCCCGAAGACCGCCGAAGAGCGGACCCACCCAATCAGAGTCTTCAGTACCTGAGGATCACCAGCATCGCCATGACGGTGCCGACCAGGGTTGATGGCCACAGGTCCGAGCCCACGGGGTTCGCAAGCTCGCCGAATACGATCCGGCGTACACGTGCACAACATGACATGGCACGGCATGATGGTTGCACGTTGTCGAACCCGTCTCCGCAGCCGCCTTGCGCGAAGGGCCACTGGTCGGTCAGCGCGGGCGCCGCCCTTGCTCGTGGCGGCGCGGTCGCGGGGAGGAGCGGCGGGAGCGGCAGAGTGAGGATGCCCGCCCGCGCCTTCACCTCCATCAAGCCGAGGAAGTCCTTCTCGACCTTGCCCCCGAAGTCCACGAGGGCTGGTGAGAGCTGGCCCAGACGCTGCTGCATCCGAGCGCGCTTGGCATATATGTTCAACGATTGATATGTCCTCCATCGGCCTCGGTCTTTCACCTCCTTCCTCGTCCGACGACCCGAGAGGAGGTCGTCGGGCGCTCCCCCGTGGCGCAGCGAGCACAGCGAGGTCTGCTCGCCGTCGAGCTGGAGCTGGACAAAAGAGTTCTTGAAGGCCAGGCGCACCTGGTCGGGGGAAAAGCTCCACAGGCTGGCCTCTGGACGCCGAACCTGCCGAAGAGCTTCGAGAAGAGGCCAAAGCTGCGGGCCGTCGACGATCGCACTCTCGTCCGACGCTCCCGTCTTGCCAGGCCTGCCGCTCGCCGCGTCGTTGACGAGGGCGGCCCAGAGCCGGCGGCCCTCCGTCGACCCGACCCGCGGCGCGACCCGCGAGGCGGCGGCGAGCCGGCGCGCCTCGCTCGGGCGGAGCTAGGTGTCGAAGGCGAGCCTCGCGAAGGTGGCCTCCGAGATGCGCCCCCAGGCCAGCAGCGCGCCCGCGATCGCGAACATGGCGACGCGCGGCAGCGGCAGGCGAATCTGCGGGGAGCGGGCATGGCCCAGTCCTGGAGGGCCCGAAAAGCCCTGGACCGCGGCCTGCCCCCCACCAGCATCGCGGGGAGGTGGTGCTTGAGCGCAGCCATCGCCGCGCGGCCCGTCGCGCTGTCGTAGCCGTCGAGGAAGAGGCGGGCGAAGAACGCGACCAGGACGGCGTCGAGCTCGGCGCTGTCCTTGAAGCTTGAAGCCCCTCGCGGTCCACAGGCGCCAGCTCAGAAACTTCTGGGTGCAAGCGCAGTAGTTCCCGCCCGTCGTCGCCGAGGCCGCGGAGCCCTCCAGCATCGACAGGCTTCCTGGCAGGAGGCTGGCGGGCCCAGGGTGGGCCGCCCGCTCCCTCGCCGCCTTGATCACCTCGCTTGGGGCGCCGCGGCCGACGCGCGACCTGGTCCGAGGCGAAGTCCTCGAAACTCGGGCCGACGAAGAAGCCCCCCCTCGACGGCCTGTCGGAGACATTCCTCTCAGAGGGCACCCAGCGCATCGGCGCGCGAAAACCGCGCGCCAGTGCCACGCCCGCGACGCGCCCCAAGGCGCGCGCGAGATGCTGGCTGCCAGATCGTCCCTTCCCGACGGAGAGGCTAGAGCCAAGTTGTCAACGATGCAGACAATGCGGTGGCGATGAGCTCCCGGGGTCCCGGGCGCGCGGTGGACACTGAACCCCAGGGCCTCGCCTTCGTACTGCAAGATATCACACCCAGTGCGGGTGTGCCGACTCGAGTGAATAGTCTTCCAGCCCTCGAACCCGTAGACAGACTCAGGGACCTCCAGGAGACCAGGACAGCCCGTCGACGACGATGGCGTAGACAGCGGTGGCGTGGCGTGATGACGAGTATCAGCGGCATCGAGATGGGGGCCAGCAGCACCGAAGGCATGGGACCTGGCGAACACACTGGACCCCTGGTGGCACCTCCACTTCTCAGCGACTCGGCCGACCTCCGAAGCTAGCTCAGGGGAGACGTCCACGATGCACACCCCCTTCCTGAACGGTGAGGCGTCAGAAGCATTGGCCCGCGAGTACCACCGAGACCTGGTAGAGGCACTCCAAAGCGGGATCAGGGCCACCGCGGCCCTCAACTCCCTGACGACTGACTCCCAGAGAGGCCCAGGATGAGGCCCCACGACGCCGATGAACCGATAGACGGCATTGAAGATGGCCGGAACGTCACGTCTCAAGATCACCCTCCACGCACAATGACCGACCAGAACACTGAGGCCCCCCGAAGAGGCACGCCCACGTCGAAGAAGCCAATCTTTCATGGTAGATAGCAGGTCCACCTATATCGGACAAGGTGGAAATGTTCAGGCAGAGGCATCGCCATGATAACTCTCAGCGGCGGAAGCTACGAGCCTGGGCGGCCGCTGCCGACGCGGGGCCGAGGGCGGCGATGGGCGCCTCGGCCGTGGGCGGGCTCGGCGAGCCTTGCGCCGCAGGCACCTGGGCGGCCGAGGTCGGCGTCTTGTTGAAATAGAGCCCGCCAATGAAGACGCCGTAGGAACGCTAGCAGCATCAGCGCCACCAGGTGCTCCGTCGACCACCCCGTGGGCGAGCTCGGCGTGACCTGGCCCTCGCCGCTTGGGCAGTGGCACTCCAGCGCAGGGCAGTGAAACGCGGGAGAGCGCGCGCAATCTGGGCACGGGGTCGAACTCCCCCGCGCTACGATGGCAGTAGTGACGGCGCTGCTGAGGTCGCGAGCGGGGCGTTCGAGCAGGGCCTGCATGCCCTCAAGAACTTGAGCAGAGGTATTGCGGCCACGGTTATTCCACAGATGCCGACAAGTCGCTGTGCGATAATGAGGTTCAGAAGTCAATATCCCCCTTCTGCTGCTCAAATCGACCATCCTCACCCTCGTCAACACCCGATGTTTCCTACAGGAGGAGCGAGGAGGATAATGATGAGCAGAAAGAGGGGAGGGGGGGGATTTGGCCCTCACCCTCCTCTGGCAACTCATATTCCCCCCCGCCCTCCTGCGCATCCCCCCCCCGTCTCGCCCCTCCGCTTTCGCCGCCCAGGAGGATGGTGCCAATGATTGGCTCATCCCCCCCCCCCACCCACCCGCCCCCTCGCCCCGCCTCCTCCCGCCGCTCCCGCCGGGGAGATGATGGCAACGAATCGATCCTCGCCCTCCTCCCCGCCGTTATTTGCGTCGCCATCCTCCTCGTTAAAAGCTCGCCCTCCTCTGGGGCCGCGCCCCCCCATCGCCGCCGTGGCAGGAGGGAGAAGGGTGAAACGTGATGAAGAAGACGCATCCTGATCCCTTCGCTCGCCCTCTGCTGCGTAATCGCCCCTTCCCCTCGTCCTCATCTCCCTATTCCCCCCCCCCATCTTCCCCCCCCCCCCCCCTGCCCCTGCTGCCCCCTCCCTCCTCCTCCTCCCCAACAGTCCTCCTCCATCGCGCCGCCCCCCCTTCCTCGCAACGACGGGAGGGGGGGGGGGGGGGCTTGGAAGGGCTCTGCTGTCCTCAGGCGTCATCTGCACTAATTTCCGACTCTGACACGACCTCCGGAGCCCCGGCCACGGCCCTGAGATAGGCCGCGAGTTCGTCCCGGGAGGCTGGGAGCAGCCAGAGCGGGCCCCACTGGGGCTGCGGTGCCACGCCGAGGACGACCCTCAGGAGGTAGTCGGCCGTCTCAGCCAACCGCAACTCCCAGGATGAGATTATCGTGGCCAGGCTGCGGCCGCCGCGCCTGGCGCGGCCACCCCGGGCCACCGTGCGAGGATGGAGGGGGGATGGTTTTCCTCCAACGCGCCCTGAGCCAAAATCGGCCAAGATGGAAAAAGTCGGGGCCAATCCGCATGCAGGCGAAATGTCGCACCGCATTTGGATTGGCCCCCTCCCAGGTTCATGCAGGCGTAGGGTCGCACCGCATTCTCCTGAGGGGTGCAAGCACGAGCATGCTCTTCATGCTGCTGGTGACGTCTACCCGGCCTACTGGTGAACTACAGAGCCTAGAGATGTAGCGATTGAAGCCCAATGCGAAACACAGCAGAAGACAGGAACACCGGTTCCTATCGAGACGCGGTTTGTAGCAGTCACGGAACGACATGTCAATCTTACGTTGTTCCTGATGCTCGTGCTACGCTCCTTGACCCACGCTCCTCCTCTTCGGAAGGGCCCCGCAGCCCGTCCGAAGCTTCGCGAGTTCACCGACTCGCTGGGGCATGGGAGCGCTGGCATCGCAAAAACAATTGAAACAATCAAAAAACAATCTCAGAGTATTAGGTGTCGCCCCGACGCCGCTGCACAGCCGAGGCCCCCGTTGTCACTCATGGAGGGCGTACTCGACGAACGACGCAACAACGATGCCTGCGGCAATATTTACAACACCCGGAGGCCGAAGTGGTCCCTGATCCGGGCCATGGCGGGCACCGAGAAGACCTTCGCGAGGCCATCTGCCCGCTGCTCGTTCGACCCGACGTGGTCGAGCAAGAGGGTCTCGCTCTCCACCCTGCTGCGGAGGGCCGACGCCCTGTTGGAGAGCGCGCGCGCCCTCCAGCTGCCGCGGCCCCGGGCCAGGCACAGCGACGCAACGTTGTCGCCCCGCATCCTGGGGCCATCATGCTCGCGAGGCTCGCCTCCGCGCCCTCCAGCATGACCAGGCCCATCGCCAGGGCCGTAATCTCGGCCTCCGCCGTAGATCTCGCCACCTGCGCCTGTTTGACGGATCGCCAGTCGATGAGGCACTCCCCCAGGTACACTGCGACGCCGGTCTGGGAGTACTCGGTTTCGAAGCTGGCGTCGGCGAAGGCGCGCAGCTCGAGCCCGTTCCCGTCGCCGCGCACCGCCTGGAAGAACAGCCCATGGCGGCGCGTGCCCAGGAGGTACCGCATGATGCGCTTGCCAAGGCGCAGTGCCCACCGAGGTGCTGTAGTCGCATGCGCTGACATCCGGCTGACAGCGAAGGCGATGTCAGGGCGGGCGCGGCCCGACAGCCACGGCAACTCGCCACCCAGCTTCTGGGCGAGGCGCACGTCGCAGAGCTCGGGCTCTGCGTCCAGCTCCTCCCCCAGCGGCTCGATGGAGATGGTGCCGCACGCATTGGCATTCGTCATCTGCCACCCGGCCAGAATATCCTCCAGGTAGGCGGCCTGATGGGCCACGAACGCCCCGTCGGCCCTCGCCCCCACCTCAAGCCCAAGGTACCGGATCGTGCCAGGGTGCGCACGGTCGATGAGCGATTGGACCCGACACGCCCAGGTCGCCATCATCACCGCCTCCACTGCAATAATCGTCTCGAGCGCGCCGGCGAGCCAGAAGTCGTCCACGTAGACCAGCTCCAGGCCCAGCGACTTCTGCTCGCTCTCGGTCTTCGTCGGCACGTCCTCCACGATGTTCCAGACGCAGGCGTCGCAGCGAGATTGGACCAACCTGCACTGCGCGCCGTTGCCCTCGAACCTCATCGCCCGCATCTGCCTGTCCCGCTTCGAGCCCCAGGCTCTGAGGGCGATGCGGAGGCCGTAGATGCCCTTCTTGGCCCTCCAGACCTCGTCGCGCCCAACGAGCCCATGCGAGGAGAGGATCGACGGCGGGCGCACCAAGGCCTCCCCAGCATCCTCCGGGAGAGGCGCATTCAGAAAGGCCGCGGACACGTCCAACGCCTTGAGCGCCCAGCCGCAGGAGCTCGCGATGGCGAGAGCGGCTCTGACGCTGAGGATCTCCACGTTGCTCGTGAAGACGACCTCACCCGGCACCTGCTTCTGGAAGTTGCGCAAACAACCCCGCGGAACTTCTTGCGCCTCCGCTGCGCCAGATCCGAAGCATCTGGCGCCTTGCTGCCAGCAGCCCCCTTTCATAAGGAGCACGTCTTTGGTTCGTACCTGCATCTTCTCACTCTCGGTGAGGGCTTCGAAGACCTCCTTCTCTGCGAAGGAGGCGAGCTCGGCCTCCATGGCCAGCTTCCACTCGTCACGCTCGGTGCTGATCGAATTTCGCAGCTCGGTCATCGAGACTGGCTGCATGCCACTGTCCTTGACGATTTCGACGAAATCCGGCACGCCGTCCGAGTCGGAGTCGGCGGCGGCAGCAGCGGCAGCTGGGTCAGAGGATGCAGCAAGGGCCCGGGGGGACCCAGGCGAAAAATGCGCGACCTCCGCCGCCGCCCCTCCTCCTGCTCCTCCTGGCGCCTGCTTGCTACGAAGCCGCAGCCTCCGATGGTCATTAGGCCGCTCGGTCGACGGGCCCTGGCGGCACCTGTGGTCGCACGTGGGCCCACGATGTGCTTCCAGGCAGGCGGGGCACGTGATCTCCCTCGGCGCCTCGTCCAAGATGCGGAGGGGGTTCAGGTCCTCAGACTCCTCCTGGTTGCCCTGCTCCTCCTCGTCGTGCTTCTCCTCCTCCTGGTCGCCCCGCTCGTTGACCTCCTGCCGGGCTCCACCTCCAGGTACGACGTCGACGACGAAGCTCGACGAGGTCTCGAACTCCCACCTCTCGAGGCCGTTCTGGGCAACCTTGTGGCCAACCAGGGACGCCCCGGACACAAAGTCGCAGATGCCGAAAAAACGCCGGGGCACAGCCCGAGGCGCGAACGCGAACTGCGGCGCCTGCTTGATCCTGCAGGTGATGGGCTGCCCGAAAATCGGACACCCAATCGGCTTCCCTTGAGCCTCGCGCGGTTGGAGAGCTGCTGCGTACACGACCGAAGCCAGCCACGGCTGCTCGCGGTCTGCCGCGCCCATCGTCATGAGCATGGCTCTGCCCCTCTGCTTGATGATGCCGATGCCCCTCTCGGCACGGGGGTTGTTATCGGCCTCGTGCCCTGGGGTCGATGTGACTACGATCCCCTGGGTGGCGAGCGCTGCGCTCACCTTCGGGCCCGAGAGCTCCCGCGCCTGGTTAGCGTGGACGCGGTAGACCACGCGCGCCTGGAACTCGAGCTCCACCTGCGCGATCATCAGGCGCAGGGCCGCAAGCACCTCCACCGTGTGCTTGCCAGCGAGGGGAATGACGTTGTACCACGTCTGCACGCCCTCCTCCTCGACGGGTCCGTCCGCGGGCACTGCGGCCACCGCTGGCAGCGCCGAAGCCCGCGTGACCATCGCCACGGCGTCGTCCGCAGCCAGCGGCTGTCCGGCCGCCGCAGCGGCAGCCTGCCCCCCCTGATCTGCGGGCCTCTCACCCGCGCCCGCGGCTGCAAGCGGCGGCGCCCCCGCAGCATCGCGCGCGCGCTGCTCAGCCCCAGCGGCGGCAGCGCGTTCAGAAGCAGTCATAACCGCGTAGGCGCCGAGGACGAAGTACTGCGCCCTCTTGGGACGGTCCTCCGGCAGTGCTCCTGGCCAGAGCCCTGCAGGATGGGGGCCAGATATGTCCACGGACAGCTGGCCTCCCGGCCGCGTCCGCGCATCCAGCCGCCAGTGCGCCCTCATGCGACCTGCCGCCAGGCGGCATTCGTAGCATTCGGGGCGGAAGGAAGGGTGTCCGCGCCTCTTATGCTCCTCCTAGCTGAGGCGCTGCACAGCGGCCACGACGACGTCGAAGTGCGCCGCCGGCATCCTAGTGCCGGCTCGCGCGCGCAGCTGCTGCCTCATCGCGCGGAGGCGCTGGGCGTCGTCCTCGTAGATGTACGCCGTGGCACCCTCGAGCTCCAGCTCGATCGCATCCTGGCCTGGCAGCAGCACGCTGGCTCGATCCCGACCCCACTGAAGATCGAGGCTGAGTTCGGCGACGTACGCGCCGATCGGGAACAGGGCCTGCAACTCCGTGGGGGAATGGACATACACCACCTCGTCCGCCCCCATCAACACGCCAGCTTGCTGGCCGGTCGCGTGCGCGAGGTCGATGCGCCGGCCAGGCACGGGCGGACGCTGGTTAGGCCACAAGTGCTGCAACTCATGCGTGGCCCCAGTGTCGGCCAGCAGCCGGCGACGGCCTGAGCCTCCAAGGAGCGCGCGAGCCGCGCGCAGATCCACCTGGAGCGTTCGAAAGGCAGGCTGCTGCTGCTGCTGCTGCGGGGGAGGAGCCGCAGCCTGAGCTGAGGCTGCACTCGAACCCGGGGTCCCCGATGGCTGGCCCCAGCCATCCTGCCAGGCAGGGCCGGCAGCAGCGGCGGCGGCCGAAATCGGGAAGAGGCTTGCCGCCACGGCATCCCTGACCACCTGCTGCAGCGCCTCGGCGGTCATCGCAGCCGCGGGCGCAACTGCGGCAGCCGATGCTGCCGACGCACCTCCAGCGGCAGCGGCCGCTGGGGGCTTCGGCCGCGGGCACGCTGCCTTGTCATGGTCCTCGGCCCCGCAGTTAAAGCACTTGCCCTCGCTCACCTCGAGCTTCCTGTGGTGGCGAGTGCAAGTCGCGCCGAACTTGCAGCCGGCCTTGCTGTCGAAGAACCGGCACGTTTCCTTACCTCCAGTCGCCGCCTTGGCAGCGGGTTTAGCCTTCGCCTTCACCTTCGCCTTGGCGCGGGCGTCGGGCTTGCCGCCCGTGGCGTCGGGCTTGCCCTGCTTGCCCCCGCCCTTGGCCTCCTTCGTCTCCCACGTCGCTGCCAGCGCCATCACGCCCTTCCCCTGGGGCGCGTCGCAGAGCTCACGAGCCTCGGCGGCGAGGTGCCGCCAGAACTCCTCCACCTGCTGCTGCGAACACTGGCTGGCGCCCGAGATGCCGCGCTGCATCTCCCACGCGAACATCCTGTACCGGAAATTCGCATCGGCCTCGGCCATGCCTGTGGCGATGCCTCGCAACGTCGCCAGCTGCGTGACCGGATCCGGCGCAGCCATGCGCTGCAATCGAGTGAGCGAGAACTTCCAAGAGTTCAGCTCCTGGTAGCAAAGCGCCAGGGCGGCGGCCTTGTTATCGCGCCGCTCCACCTCCCTCAGCACCGGCGTCCGGTCGCGAAGGGTGCCGGGGCCGGCCTCCACCATGATGCCGAAGAGGAGCTCGGTCACCGAAGTCTGTCGGGTGGCCAGCGCGCCGCTCTGCACCTGCTCGGGAACCGAGTCCAACAGCAGCGGGCGCAAGCGCAGCTCAATGCTGAGGCTATGGCGGTCGGCTCCGAACCACTCGGCGTTCGGCTTCACGAGCGGGCGCTCGAGCGGGCCCCGGCTGAGGTAGTACTCGAAGCGCCTCCCTCGCCGCGCGCTCCGACCGCTGCCAGAACAAATCGATGGAGGGATGCCACGCCCCGATCCTCATGGAAGCTCGCTGCACCCACTCCTCGAAGGCGTGCGCCTTGTTCGCACCGGCGACGAACACCAGCTTCGGCACGTCGCCGTCTTTCAGTTTCGCCAACACCGTCTCCAAGCCAAACGCGGCTCCTCGGCGCTGCTCGTCGGCCCCTGCCGATGCCGAGCCGGCAGGCGGAGGCGGCGGGGGCGGGGGCGGGCCGCCTGCTGCAGGCATCCATCCGCCACGCCCTGGATCACCGCCAAAACCACCTGCACCTCCGGGAGGTCCTCCGAAACCTCCTCCATCGCCACCACCTCCGTGTCCTCCTGGCGGTCCGCCTGGAGGCCCGCCTGGCCATCCATTGGGCCCCCGGCCGATCGGAGGCAGCCCAGGCGGCAGTCCGCCGGGCGGCAGCAGCGGCTGAAGCATGCCATGAGCGCCAGCTGCCGCCTCAAAGCCAGGCACCTGAACTCCGCCAGGTGCGACTGCTGCTTGGTCCGCGGCCGACGCTGCAACCGCCTGGTCGGCGTCGGACGCGGGCTCCCCGGGACCAGCGAAGGGCGGGGCCACCTCCTCGGCCTCGCCGCACTCGCTGCTCGTCGCCTCGGCGCGCGGCGCACGAGGCATCGATGGTGGTGGGGCGCCCTCCGGCGCCACTCGCCCACCAGCGGAGGGCTGCGCACTGGCCTCTGCTCCGCCGCTCGCCTGCGAGGGCGGCGTGCCTGGGTCCAGCCGATCCCCGCGCACTGGGGTCCGATACCCCGGCGTTGATGCCCCACCTTGGGCTGCGGCTGCTGCTGCCGATGCGCGGTCGGCGAGCCGCTCTGCCTCCAACTGCTCGCTCCTGCGGCTGAGGCGCTGCACCTCCATGCGCAGCTCTCGCAGCTCCGCCAGCTGCAAATCCATCGCGCTGGATGGCGGGCGCTGCAGGTCCTGGCCAGCGTCGGGCGCGTCCGCCCTGCCAGCCCTCTCAGCAGCTGCTGCGGACAGCTGGTCGGGAAGCTGCGGCTGAGCAGGCAGAGGCATCATCGTGCCTGCCGCCCACGTCTGGCGCGCTCCCGCGGCAGCGCCCACAGCCAGGCGCTGCGTCCCCGTCGCTGCGGTGCCGAGGGCGGCACCCGCAGCCTGGCCAGCCATCTGCGCACCAAACAATGCTGCGGCCAACCTGCCCTGCGAGGCCGCTGGACCAGGCGGCCTGCCGACGACCGTATGCGACGTCGCGGTCCGCGAAGCAGGCGAAGCAGACTGCATGCCCCTGCAAAGGCTGCACGCAGTGGCTGTGGACGTCGGTGAGGCAGATGTCGCACACCACCGACGGGCCCACGATGACGTCCGAGCACGCCCTGCACCGCGCGCGCATAAGCGCAGCGGGCGGCGCCAGCGGCGCTGCCGGGAAGCCATGGCCAAGCGGAGCTCCAAACGCAGGGTGGTAGAATCCCTCGTTTGGGCTCATAACCCTTGAAAGGGCTCTGCGGTCCTCAGGCGTCATCTTCACTAATTTCCGACTCTGGGTCGACCTCCGGAGCCCCGGCCACGGCCCTGAGATAGGCCGCGAGTTCGTCCCGGGAGGCTGGGGGCAGCCGGAGCGGGCCCCACTGGGACCGCGGTGCCACGCCGAGGACGACCCTCAGGAGGTAGTCGGCCGTCTCAGCCAACCGCAACTCCCAGGATGAGATTATCGTGGCCAGGCTGCGGCCGCCGCGCCTGGCGCGGCCACCCCGGGCCACCATGCGAGGATGGAGGGGGGATGGTTTTCCTCCAACGCGCCTTGAGCCAAAATCGGCCAATATGGAAAAAGTTGGGGCCAATCTGCATGCAGGCGTAATGTCGCGCCGCATTTGGATTGGCCCCCTCCCAGGTTCATGCAGGCGTAGGGTCGCACCGCGTTCTCCTGAGAGATGCAAGCACGAGCATGCTCTTCATGCTGCTGGTGACGTCTACCCGGCCTACTGGTGAACTACAGGGCCTAGAGATGTAGCGATTGAAGCCCAATGCGAAACGCAGCAGAAGACATGAACAATGGTTCCTATCGAGACGCGGTTTGTAGCAGTCACGGAACGGCATGTCAATCTTACGTTGTTCCTGATGCTCGTGCTACGCTCCCTGACCCACGGGAGGGGGGGGGGGCGGTGGAAGGGGGGGGGGGGGGGGGGGGCGCGCGCAGAGGAGAAGGACGAGGCGCGAGAAGAGGAATAACATTCTGGCGGGGCAGATACCGCGGAGCAGGGCGATGATGAGGAGGGGTGATAGGAGGACAAACAATAAATGCACGAGGACGAAGAGGAGGAAGGGGGCGCGGAAGAAGGCAAGGGCGACGACGATGCGCAGGCGGGGCAACGATACAGATACGGAGTATGGTGCGGATGATAATGGTGGGACCAAACGAGACCGATGCTGATGAGTAAAACCGTGATCCGCATCATGCCCCTCCGTTTCGTCGTATTCTTGATACAGTCACCCCCCTACCACTGACCACGGCGCTCCCCTTAGTCATCCGCAGCGCCATCCCTCACTCGCACACTCAACGCCAAATGTCCGAAGTTCCTCAACCACAACAAATGAAAAAACAAAAAAAAAATAATAATAATAATAATAATGATAACACAAAAAGAAGTAAGTGATGGACCCTAGACGGCGCTCGCCCTCTGATGGCGGTTTTACTAGGGCGCCGCTCATGCGATTGCGAGCGGCCCAACGAACGGCGGGCCCACTACCCAGCTCACCTCGAAGAAGTGCGACCCCTACCGCGGCTTCGGCCACGGCCCCGACCCCCCCCTCCCCCTCGAGCTGCAAGCAGGGGCGGGCGGAGGCCACGGGACAGAGGAGGAAGAGGAGGAGGAGGAGGAGGAGGAGGAGGAGGAGGAGGAGTGGACGGCATGGAGGCAGCGGCACAATACGGCGGCGGGGGGCAATCGGAGGTCGAGCGGGGGGGGGGCCTGTTCCGCTAGTGGGCCCCTCGCGCCTGTCGCGAGCTGGCCCTGTGCAAATGCAAGGCGCTGGTGGGATCGGGCTCATTATGGCGTTGGCCTCATCCTCTGGCCTCGTACTCGCTGCTGCCGGTGCTGCCATCGGTGCTGAGGCGCTGGTCGCCGGGGTCGGCGCGGGCGTAGGCGTGGGCGGAGGTATCGGCGACGGAGAGAATGGCAACGTGCAGATCCCCGTCTCAGCATCGGTGGCCTTCAGTCTTCCCATGGATTCACTGCTGATGATTGGTTCATCGGTCGCAGTCCTCTCCTCCGTATCAGGCTGTCTGCGGGGCGGCCCCGTTGCCCCCCCCCCGGCGGCCGCGGCGCGGCCCCCTGCGGGCAAACGCGCGCCGAGGCCGCATGGGGGGGGCGGTGCGTTTGGCGGTCTGGCGAGCAGTACCGATGTCCAATCTAGAGTTCGCCCATCGGCGCGTCCATCCATAGAGCCAAATCCTGCTGGCGCTGGTCCCACGCGCGCTGGTTTATTGGCGTTGTGGAGCGTGCCGATGATGGATTGCCTGATCTGGTAATCCCTGCAATTGAAGATGATATTGGCCTGTCCGCTCTTGTAGGCCTTCTCGAGCTTGCAGATCGGGAAGATGTCATGCACCTGGCACTGGTCAATTGAGTTGACCCGCTCGATGGCGGCCGCGATGTCGGTCTTGCTCTTGGGGCCGATGTCACGCAGCACCGTCGCCTCCAACATCGCCATCGCAGCGCCAGGGGCGGGGGGGGGCCTTCCGTGTGATTCTCCTTCTTGGCGAACGGCCCTCGCGCAGTTGCGGTTCTCTTGCTCGATCGCCTCTACCAGCGGGTCCTTGTAGATGACCTCTGGCGATGGGGGCCTTCTTGAGATCGATCCGCTCGTCCTCGTGGGCACCCTGGCCCTCTGGCTTCTGGCCGCGGCCCTGGCTCCCCGATCGATCTGCTCTGGCGCCGCCGCTGCCAGACGGGGGGGGGGGGGGGCCCGCGGGGCGCGCCAGCTCGGTCTCTGGGGTGCGCTCGCTGCCGACGGGGGCAGCGTGGGCGTCGCGAGCTGCTGCAGGTGCTGGGCGCGGCGGTAGAGACAGCGCGTGGGCCCCCAGGACATCTCGAGGTAAATGTCTGCGGAAGTAGCATCGAAGCCCGGTATGCTCTTCAAATGGCCCCCGGCAAATCGGGCAGGATGGGCTCTTCGGGGTAATGAGGAGGTGCGGGGCCCAGGTCTGGTCGAGCTTGCGCGCGCGTGATCTCCATGCTGCGGCGATGGTGTTGTGCGCCCACTCGCGTTGGTAAGGTCGTGCTGCATATGATGTGAACGTGAGCTGAGATAACATGCATCACATCCCGTGTTCACCTCCGAGTGTCAAGCCCCTCTGGTGCGCATAAACTGCTCGTGCTGTCTTCCATGTGCTCACGCACAGGGTCCCAGCGGAAGTTTTTAGGTAGCAGACGCGCAGCGCGGCCCCCTCCGAAGGGGCGAGCTCCGACGGGAGCTCGGCGGAGGCACCAGGCGGCGCGACAGCGCGCCGAAGATATGCGGCCCTCATGATGCCCACGTCGATCCCGCAGATGGCCTCGGCGATCTCAGGCTCGGTGAACAGCGTGATGATGTTGCCGTTTCAGTCCAGCAAGTCCAAGGGCTCGTCAGTATCGTAGGTGAGGAGGTCCTGGATGTTCGTGGCCATCTGGCGGGCCATCGGGTGAGCGTCAGGGCTGATGTAGCCGTCGCCGGTCAGGGTGAGCGGCATGACGGGTAGTTCGTTGTCCTGCAGGAATCGTTCGATGCGGAGCTCGCCGAACAGCGCTGAAACGAAGTGCTGAGACTCGTCAGGGTGTGCGGCTGCTCCCTGAAATAATTTCAATCGTCGAATCTTGAGCTCGATGGGGCTCGGCACTCGGTCCCATCGTCGCCAAACCTCAGCGGCCGAGATCGCCTTGTGGTGGGTGTCGTGGTGGCGCTGGCATCCCTTTCCCTGCAGCATGGCGCGTAGTTCCTTGCCGAAGCAGATGCCAAACTTCTTGTAGTCCGTGGCGTAGAGGCAGTAGGTCTCGGCGGCGCTGATGGCGGCCTCGTAGGCTACTGCCTAGAATACTAATCGTTTGAGTCGTCGTGGTGCACGGCTGAACCAGAAGTGGTGGTACTGGCACCATTCTGCGCTTGCTGCTCGTAGTCGGGCTTCGCGCTCTCCGTTAAACGAGTCTTTGGCGTCGAGCATGCCCCCCACGTGCTTCATGGAGGTCAAGCGATTGCAGTCGATGCGGGGGTCGGTGAAGAAGGCGCGGTGTAGGTGCTTGGGCGGGATGCTGTGGACGATCTCCTCCTTGGTCTCAATTAGGCTGACTCCTCCTTGAAGTGCGTGTTTAGAGCCTCGAGGCCGCGCTCGATAGTCATGGTGAGGGCTTGGACCTCGTCGATGCTGGCGTCGCGGGGCTGGCCTCTGGAGTCTATGGCTTGCTAGCGCGGGCCGACTCGGGTGGCGATGTGGAACTTCAGGATGTCATCGACGAATACCTGGCGGCTGAGGTCCTGGACTGGGCCGTCGGGGTGCCATGTCGGGTCGCAGGATTGTAGCATGATGCTGGCGTGGGTCGCGGCGGCGTCGGTCCTCCACTGCTCAAGCTGGCGGCTGTAGACCTGCATGAAGGCGTCGGCATCGTTGGAGCATCCCATGAACCCTCCTTCACGCTTCCGCATGATGATGGTGCCGTCGCTGGTATCGACGATGGTCGGAGATTCGGTGCGTCGTTGTAGGATCAGTTGGCGGTCTCCCTCGCGCGCGGCGGGGGTGACGTGATCGTCGATCGCTTCATGGTGGGTGCACCCGAAAGCGTTGCGGCCGTCAGGGGAGCGCACTGCGAAGGCGATCTTCGCCCGTCGGAGCCTGCTAGCGACCGCGCGGTTGACTATCATTCCAAACTCACGTCGTCGATGTGGGGCGCCTCCACATGCATAGTCGGGTGGACGAGTCGGGAACCCTCGCTCTCCTAGATGTCGATAAAAAAACAACGCCAGGAAACATCGAAACAGCGGATGAGGCGTAGACCGACGGGCCCGATGACGCTGTTGCCCTTGTCCAGCTGGAAGCTCTGCGAGGTGTTGGCTTGCATGGGGGCGCGGTTATGCTGTCGTGCGTGAGCCAGGCATACTAGGAGTCGTGCATTTCCCAGTCGATATTCTCGTGGAAATTTGAGCTTCCTCTTGAAAGGGTTCCCGATGCCGTCGGGGGGGGGGGGGGGGGATTGCTCCAAGGCCCTCGTGGTCGTCCTGGTCGGCGTAGTAGTTCAGGTTGGAGTGCCATCGGCAGGATCTCGGCAGGGGCGGAGCAGTAGGAAACGCATTTCCTGATCTTGGCTTTGTCGAGCAATTTGGTGACTGAGGCCAGCTCCTCGGCGGCTTCGATGGTGAAATTGAGCTGGATACCGCGTGCTCGCGGTGGGTTGTGAGGCGCGGTGGGCGCGGGCGCTGGCTCGGGCGCGGTTGGCGCGAGTGGGGGGGGGGGGCCTCCGTCGAAAGCGCGTCGTCCTCAGCGTCGTCGTGCTCCTGCTCCAGCATGGTGTCGAAGTCGAGATCATCGCAGTTCATGAGAGGGCGTGAAGTCGGCATGTCGTGGTAGGTGCGATGGTGGTGGCGATGTTGGCGCGCGTGGGCGTCGAGCAAGATGTCGGCGTCAGCGCGGAGGGTGCGGGTCGTAGTGGTGCAAGGTCCTCTCGCGTCGCAATGGAGACTGGTGCCAGTACGGCTAATAGTCCTCCTTTAGCGCCTGGGCGTTGTAGAACTTGTTGCCGTTGTTCCTTGCTGGGCCGTGAGCTGGGTAAGATGCCGTAGAAGCGCTTGCGTGCGCGTAGCTTATGGCGTAGCACGCCTTTGAAGATGCGATGGCATTCTGCGAGTCGTCGAGCGCGCCAAGCCTGCCACAGGTCGCCGCACTGCCTTCCTTGGTACTTGTGGTTCGCGCCCTCCTGGTGGCGCAGGAG